ATGAAATAGTTACATTTATGTATCAAATTTTCCCCACCAAGTCCTGCGCATGATGCCTCACCGTGGCAGAGGGGGGTCACTGATGTACGATGGCGATGGGAATGGGCGATGTACGTCAGGAGATCATTCTCCTGGTAGGGACATCCAAGGCGTAGAAGCCATTCCATATATTCAGTTAAATCATGCAGGCGAAGAGTTAAGTCAGACTTCTTCCTTCGGGTGTTCCAGGCCTTCTAGAATAAAGAAGCTGCTCCCCACCTTCTTCACGAGTTTCCATACTTGATTGTCTGGAATTTTCCTTGGAGGACATTTTCTTCTGACCAATTTTAGTGTGTGACCTTGCGTTTGGACTCATCACTTTGATATAGCTTAGGCTATATTGGGAAGGATTGGAAACAACAACAATAGCCTATCAAATTTAATAAATTTAGAACCGATGAAGAGAAGATCAATTCTTAACTTGAGAAGGCATCACTCAAAGGAAGTGAAAATATGAAAGTAGCACTTTATCTTCATTTAATTTTTGTTAAACCTATGTGCTAAATATCCCACGAGGAAATCATTATCAGCATTCATAAGATGATGCAATGTAATGCAATACAAAAAAAAAATTCAATGATAACGATGATGATTATGTTACAATTAAAATTTATAAGGCTAATATAATGAATGGAAGCTAAATTTCAAAGCATTTATGAAATTTTCGGTATGCATAATAACATCTTAGTGTGTGCCTTATTATTACAGAAAAGTTTTCATTTTCTTTGACTGCAGAAAAAAAGGATTAAGAGACTCATGGATTAAGAGACTGCGAGCAGAACCATTTTATTTCCAGCTTGTTTTCGAAAGGAGTAAAGTATATGGGATTGCCAACACTTATTAACAGTTATACCATACATATTTACATTTGCAAGTTCACAAAATATATAAATTATTATTGTTAATAAACAATTATAGTTATGAAATATTTTACTACTATGAATTATAAAAGCAGTATAAGTATTTTCTTTGACAAAGTTCGGTGAGCTATCCTTTTTAATGAAGTAATAACAAATTGATTAACAATAACAACGAATGAATTAATAATAACAAATTAATTAGCAGATAAATAAATAAAATAAAAACAAGAATTTATTCTAAATTATTAAAAGTTAAGGGACTTGGAGGAGAAACAAAATTGTGAATCCAAATACACAACTATTAAACAATTTCTGTTTTTTTATTTTTAATATTTTTATTTTATTTTATTTTTTTCATTTGTAAAATTTTGAGAATGAGTAGAACTTTTATAAAGCTCCTCAGTTAGTTTTTAAAGTTGAATCATTAATAATTTATTTAAAATCATACTGTTTTTTGTTCTTCAAATAAATTATTTTGCGATAATAACTAATTTTACCACAGCAGATAATTTTGAAATTATAAATAATTTTTCTACAAATAGTTAAAATAAATGGTCATTTAAAAATAATTTTTAAACGACCATTTTCAGCCTCAGAGTGAATTGTCCAAACCATAAGAACACAACCAAATTAAATGGCACCACACTGACAGTGGGTTCTTGACTAATTTCCCAATTCTGAAATCAATGAAAAATTCTAAAAAGAAATGCTGGATAAATAGGTCTTTAGAAAAATAAACTTTAAATTATTGTGGGGAGAGTTGATATCGACAATGTCAACCTTCATCTATGAAATGGTACCCCAACATAGAATCGAGTTAACATGTCTTATATATACTAGTGAACTGGAATTGTATATTTGTAGTGGTAGATACACTACAGTACTCCCCCACCAGAATTATAGCTGCAATAGAATTCGATGAATGAATACCACGAGGTGATTCATTGCTGTTTTGTGAGAAGCCGGGAGAACTGTATTAAGATCATCGCACGTTTGAGTGCTGATCGTGAGAGCTGTATTAAGTTCACGGTCGTTATTGCTCCTACGATGCCATCAACAGTCGAGTGCATACAGGCCGACGTTGTGTGTGATTGAGACGAGACTGAGTAGCAACAGTACGAGGAGGTGGATAATGTCGCAGTCACAAGTTGCAAATCAACTGTTCAATGTGGACCATCCATCGAATTAAGCGTTACTGTCTAGTTAGGCGTGTTCATGTCGAAGTGGGCGTTTCTGCCAAGGTAGGCGTGTTCACATCACGTCTGAAGGTCACCAATGTGGGAAGAGTTGTTTTCGATCATGTCAACCTTCATCTATGAAGAGATACCCCAACATAGAATCGAGTTAACATGTCTTATATGCTAGTGAACAGGAATTGTATATTTGTAGTGCTAGATACACTACAATTATCATATCAATTGTCATAAAAAATTGTTTTTGTATTCGTTATTCCTTAAAATAAGATAATAGAAAAATTAATTAAAAAAGTAAACTCAAAAAGTTTCAAAAAGTAATAAATTAATTTTAGTATTTTCATTTCGAATTTTTGAACCATATTCTCAAATATCATTAGTAACTGAACCAATATTTTTATAGACATATGTAACTACCTTTACTATTTTTTATAGGTATAAAATAGGTTAAACGAGGGCAAGAAACTCGACTTTGAGTATCCCCATTTAATAGCACCAGTCATTTAATATTTTCTGTTAAAGTAACGAGCTTTTTTTTTTTTTTTTTTGTTAATGCATTTCAAACAAGTAAAGTTTTAAATTTTCTATATTTTAGATTATTAATTTATTTTATTATGCATAATACATTCACTATAACATCAGGTATATCATTTATAAATATTGAGTAACAATAGAAATCATTAGTATGTCTAATTTGTGATAAAGCAAGAGAATAAATGGAACAAAAGAGCAAATTAGCAAATCAGTGACTATCGTCGAATCTGTGAAATTTTTTTTAATGAATCAGCAATTGAGCGAATACAACGAATTGACGTATTAAGTTATATATACTATATAAAAAGTTTACCGATCTATTATTTGTGCTACGCAAGTTATTTGTGTTTATTACGTATTTTTTTTTAGAAAAAATCATGTCTCTCATTTACTAAACGAGGAAGTATAAAACACTAAACTAAAAATAATGTTAACTAGTTACGCGATTCAATCGTAATTGTAAACAGTTTTAACAAGAGAAGAAAATTGTTATTATTAAGTATTAAAGCTTAAACAAAGTATTTATAGCGCGTAAGAAAAAGTACAGTAATTAAATTTTCATATGATAATATGGTAATTCATAAAGAAGTAAAAGAAGCTTCATTTTCAGTCTAATTATTAACTTCAGAGTTCAGTGCATATTTAATAGTAGAAATAAGTGCAATTTAACTTAGTTATAAATCTTTTTTTTTTATACAACAGTAATTGATTGCATATTTAAACTTTTAGAAACTTTTAAAATTAGTATTGCAAAATATTTTAACCTATTTTTACAGAATTTTTTTTCGTTACATATTTAAATTATTTTCACAAAATATTTTAAAACATGAAAAAGAAACAAGCAAATTGAAATGAATTGTAAAGTAAACATAAAATTTAAAATAAATATAAATAAATAAAAAAAATTCTAAGCCAAAACATCGGAGCTTTTTAAAAATGTTTGTTTTTGCTCAAAATCTATGAAATCAGTGATTTTGTAAAAGATAATTAATTAGGCATAACACTTCCTTTATTTCTAAATAAAGTGCTGTTCAATTACATACACGCAACCCCGAGCGTTAAGTTTCGCAAAACACGCAACTTTCAACGTAATCAACCGTCAAAAATACTTAATAACACATTTCAAATAACCCTACTCTACCCAGAAAAATAACGAAGAAAAAGCGGAAGTTTAATTTAGCACTTTAATAAGCGAGAAACACCGGCTATGAAGACAGGTGCCACTATTTAGCTATCTCCGCAGACGATATTTTTCTAATTATTCCTCTTACATATTTCACTTCACTTCTTTCTTTCTTTGTGATGCAATTTTTATTATTTTATTTGATGAAAGAGGGAGAAAAGTAATCAGGCGTAAATATGTCGATAATAATTGCTCTTACCCGGCACTATGCGTGGCAACAAAATTAATTAAAAACAGAGATTCTAGTAAAACGTGCTAAATTCTTCGCCTCTAAAGTTACAGCAGACGATTCTTTTCTTCTAGTTTTTAATTGATAACCTTGATTGCTTTGAGGGTGATGCCATCCAACTTAAGGAAAATATCTCCCTTTTTCGATAATTATTGCGTGAGCTGTTTCGGTGCTCTTGATGATTTTTAAATGCTTGGAATGTCTTTAAAAGGAAGGGTTTAGAAAGAATTAGGTTTTAAAAGAATGAACGTTTCTAAATGGAATCTTCTTTACTATGATGTATTGTTCTGCTTAGAAACCAGGTTTTATGGTTGGCAATATATCAAGGGGAAATATTAAAGCTAATGTTTTTCTTCGTACTAAATTTCTAAAGGGAAAAAAAAGCCACTTTAAAGAGCTTTAAGTTTTTTAGAATTAACTTCGGTGTACAATGTAAAAAAAAAAAAAATCTAAAAAGGAGAATTTAAAATGGGTATTTAGGTTTTTCGAAAGAGTTGATTTTCAAATTTATGATCTCGCTGAAAATATGCTTGATAACTTTCCGTTCATTCACTTTAAAAAATTTGAAATTTCTTAAAGCCTAAAATTCTTTTAACTTACCGATCGCAAGTCTTAGCTTAGAATAATATTTCGTTTTTCTTCCGTTTTCCAAAATACTCAGTCTTTCTACAGTCTAGTGATTGACGAGATTCTTTTTTAATTTCCTTTCTTATTTCTTCCTTCCTTTCTCCTGTCTATCAACTTTAATTCCTTTTAAAAATGCAACTTAAAAGAATACAAAATGCTTTGAATACGGAGCTTTTCTTTCCTCTTTATTTTCTTCCTTTTTTTAATTTTACTTATGCATAGAATTCCCACTTATGATCGAAAACTTACTGTATGATCGAAAACATTTTTTAATAAAAAATAATGAAAATGGCACTCAAAATTTGTGTTTGTAATAATATTTTTCATAATTTTAGGATAATACTGTCACCATACTAATACGAGATTGGGATACTTTTCTGTGAAAGTTGAATTAGAATATCTTGTTTGAAGCCAAAAAGTACTTACACTTAAGTACTTTCATAAGCACAGGAGGAGGAATTTCCTACTGTTGAAGACTAAGTAAGAAAAGAAAAATCTGTATGAACTACCCTTTAATTTTTTTAAAGCATATTTATTTACACTCATTTTTCGCATATATATATATA